TGTACTTTTACTCAAGTACGGAAAGTGAGTACTTTTGCCATCTCTGGTAGTAATTCAACTGCCTATAGAGTGCTGCTAGAAAGGCAGTTGAACTGGACTCATGTAATGTCGTTAATTTCATTAGTTCATTGAGGGATTAAGTTGTCTCAAAGTTATCACAACAGAATTGTGATAGCCTTGAGCTAACTTATGGCTCTCAAACTGTCAACATTTATATTAAAATTAATTTGCAAATACATTTTTTTGGAGGCACCATTAAAAGATTTTGCTAAACCTCAATTTAAAAAAGATAAAATACAACTTTACTTAGTTTTACAAAAATGTTATGTAAATTAGCTCAGCTGATAAACTTTAGAATTTGTATCTGGTTTTGATTGTCTGCTCAGGTTCTGTCTAGGCCAGATTCATCATCGTCTCCTGCCCTGCTAATATTGTGTATGTGTCTGCTGACCTGGACCATCACGCCATCTGCTCAGACTATTGAGATTAGAATAGCACATGTTCTTAGCAGCAAACAGCAATTACCTAAATATTTCCTTTTAGATTAGACCACAAACAAAAGATTAAATGAACCCTGAAAAATTGAGGCTCAGGCAGGAATCTGTCTGTAACCTAATTTTCACGCTGTACCCACCAGATCAATACCAGTCCTGTCAATAATCCCCCCTATCACTTATCCTGTACTTACAATACCTTGTTCTCTCCCTGCCTCTCTTCCACCTCCAAATGACATGCAAAACTGTGAGATAAGGCTTTTTCTTAGTCAATACATTAAAGTTGTATTTCCCAAAGTCTGTATGTAATAAATTCTGAAAAATGTCGCTGGAACGGTCCATAATCTTTTAATAATTGGCACCAGATCCGGTCAGAAAAACATTAGAGGTCAGATCAAAGATTAAGATATTGTACTCAACCAGTGTGACCTGTACTTAAATCGTAGATTGCTGCTGTTCCAGATGATTATCAAAACAGGCAGATATGAATACCCTCATGGGCGGTTCTAGACAGGGGCCAACGGGGGTCAGGGCCCTGTAGATCAAGTCCTGGCCCCTGTTATGGCCCCTGTACTGAAGACGTAATACTCAAAGAAATTCTAATTATGATATGCGCAGGAACAGAAATGATTACCGATAGATCCTTTGGATCTTTTTCATTTTTTTCTTTACAAATTCTGTTTTATTAACTGTTTAAAAACATAGCATCAGTGATATTGAGATAGGATCCCAGTTTTTTAATCTGCTAAATGTTTTTTTTTAAACAAATGTAAAAAAAAAAGAAAATACTCAACTTAAACTCTAATTAAATTCTAATTCTAATAAAAAACTGTAATTTCAACTTAAATTAAGTTAAAAAAAAAAAGTAAAATTCTTAAATTCTGAATGTATATTGACCTAAATTTTATTTTATTTTATTTTTTTTTATTATTTTATATACTCTAATACTCCCAGAGGGAAATTACTTCTCTGCATTTAACCCATCTCCTTGGGGAGCAGTGGGTTGCCATTGTGAGGTGCTCGGGGAGCAGTGTGAGGTTAAGGGTCTTGCTCAGGGACCCAGAGTGGCAGTCTGTGGGAGTGGGGGATCGAACTCACAATCTCAGGATTCAAAGACTGATGCTTTGATATCTGAATCCCTGTTTTTTATTTCATGCTTTTCTCTGCCCCATGAAAACACGCTGGCCCCCTCCTGGCCCCCCTGGTACATTTGGTCTAGAACCGCCACTGAATACCCTGGCTGGGAAGTGCAGGTGCTGTGAGTAGCTATAATTTAAATATAGTAGATCTAGATCATTTCTTGTAACAGCGGTGAAGGATTTATTTCAAAATCATGTTAATTTAAAGTACTAGTTAATATTTATAAACTACTAACTGGTTCTACTATCTGAACACCGTTTCCCCTGCTGCTAGTTTTATTCTGGGGCCGCTGCTGTCATATTAGTCATCACCCTCTGGCTAAGAACCTGATTCTGTAGGCTAGAGGTCCTCTTCTGATGGTTCTGACCTGTGCAGTGCCTCCATATTCCTCCACAGCTTACCTGGCTGATAGTTTAACCACTCAAACCTATTTCAGATTAGATGTGCTGGAAGAATAAATGTTTTCATCCATCTCCATTACAGAATGGTGAGTTAGCTCCACAACTGTTCTCCCATCACCATCAGAAAGCAGCATTACTCAATGTAGAACAAACATAACCTTTTATGTTAGGGTGGGGGGGTTAACAATAATTATGTGTTTGTATGTACAGGGCATAGCAACCATTGCTGATTCATTATTTATTATCTGTAGTTACATAGGGTGCATGAAAAGGACTGGAACTTGATAAAATATTGAACTACAAAAAGACAGGATGAAAACTGATATTAATCATTGATTGATTTCTTAGAAATGTATAATTATGAGGAGAGAAATAACCATAAAATCATTAGCTGTGTTTAGAGTAACACAATCAAAGGTTGAAACCTTGATTTCATAATTTGAACAGGTTGTTTTTGTATCTAAGCTATAAAAGCAATAAGCAGTAAGTACCTGTGGAGAATTAATTATATTTAGAAATTATCTTTAAAAGGACATTCAAATATGTTGTGGAGGATGAGAACTCCTGTCATGGACAATTGATTATTTCTCAATATTTTCTTTATCATTAAACAAATCCCTTTTTATTATTTTTTTTATTATTATTTTGATATATTTCTTTTAAACTAACACACTTTCAGACAGCCCTTCATGCATTGCGGTAATAATCGAAAAGGCAATAAAATGTTATTAAAATTAATTCATACATGAAAATTACTCTTTGGTCCATATACAGAAAAGTATAAGCATTATCTTTTTTTTATTTAACTAAAATGCATATTTTATGTCTAAAATATAACAGCCATGGTGTATTGGTGATTGTAGAGAATGACCCACCTAATTGGTTTTGCTCAATTGTTATAACGCTCAGCAAAATCTGGGTTATAAATTAATACTTTAACAACTTAACAGCAGGAGTTTAAATAAGTGTCTGAGCTGCAGCGGAACATTTCCAACATTTCCATCCCTGCACATCTGATTCATCCAGAGGAAGGAAATTCATCTGCTCCTTTCTCAACAAAAACATAAATCACTAATTAAACCCAACTGATGCAGAACCAGATAAAGACTTTTCCATATTTTACAGGCTGCTTTCTATCTTTTCCTTTCCAAATTTAAAAGCGAGGTCTCCACCGATGATTGTCCCGTTGGGTCAACTAACCGGTTCACAGCAGATCAACAAGCGTTGCTGAAGAGACTTTATAGCAGATAATAAACTTTCCTGACCTAACTGTGAGCACGGTGCCTGTTTGTCTTACCTCCTGGTGTCCCTAAGCTGTCTGCATAGATCCTGGCAACCAGCATCAGTAGCAGCTTTGCTGAATACATGTCGGAGTGCAGAGAAAGTTAAACGGTTCCCTCCAACTCATCGGAAGAAGCACATTTTAGAGACAATTGTTGCCGCAGCTTCAGCGGCTGAACAACTGCCGGGAGAAAGTTGAGAGGTTGCCTCTAATTCAAGGGGCGGTCGTCTGCTTCGCCCACAGCCTCCTTTGATAAACGGTCGAGGATTTCAAAAAAAGCCTCCTCAATACTGCTTTGGGACGCGGGATAGCGGTGCCTCCATGTGGCGGGATTGCAGATCTATTGTTGTCTGGGAACAGGGTGGACTGGAATAATCTGACTATAGTAACACCACTGAGAATAGATAAACCTCAGATTAACAGATTAAATAAAGTAGCCATGTACAAATAAAATAAAAGGGTAATTGTGTGTCAAAAAACTATGTTATTTAAAAAAAATTAATGAAAATAGCATTAAAGTAAAGTATTAAGTACAATTTAAAGCTACAGTGTACAATTTCCAGCGCTATCTAATCAGTGGCGGTTCTAAACCACCATCATGGGGGGTTTCTTACTTTTTTCTCTCCGAGTTTTTACTTTTTTCTCTCGATTTTGACTTTAATCCCACTGTTCTTAGTTTAATCTAAGAATTCTCACTTTGATCTTGGAATTCTGACTTTAATCTGTTATTTATGATTTAAATCCCATATTAAAGAGTTCTCAAGATTTTCATTCTTCCAACTGCGGAATATTTCAAAAATTAGAAATCTCCTGTCCAGGGGTGATTCTGAGAAACTAGTCCATGCATTCGTTACTT